AAAAAAAAAAGGTACTGGCGTTTCATCTTCACAGAATGGAAGCTGTAATACACAGCTGTCGTTCTAGCATATTTTTAGTAAATTAGAAAAATTTCGGATTTTGGATATTCAGATTTATTACCAGTTCAGATCTGGTTAAATTGTAAATTTAGGGTTAAAACAGAGCAAAGGAGCTAAAGATTCATAAAACCACATGTTGTAACAAATAGTCGCTTATACTTTGATATCACAATATTTTATTACAAGTCTGACTTGATTATAAATATTGGTTTTCTATTAAAATCGATTGTCCTTCAAACACCTGACCATTTTTCTTGTAATGACCAATAACTTGACTTAAACAATTAGTCGGGACACTCGTAGGAAAACTGAAATTGTAACTTTCAATTGAATTATATTTCTGCTCAAGGTGTCAATTTTAACTAAAGTACTTAGAGAATAAAGCATTGAAGCTAATTTTCCTGAGAGAGAAATCCATTCTTTGCATAACAATAACGTCAATCAGAAGAAAAACTTCGTGATGACAAAATCTTCATCTACAAGATGCTATTCAACAAAACCCACATTAATAAAAAATCCGAGCTATATTCAAAATAATTCTTCTTTTGAAGTCAGCATTCAAAATCAACAATTCATTATGTACAGTTAAGATTGTAGAACAGCGTGAGTATGTATTGTTTTTTTCTGTTTATAATACTCAGTTGTTAGGCCTAGAGTGCGAAAATAAAGAATCCTTTTTTCGCGAAAATGACATCCACTTTATTAGCCAATATGTTAATGTAAGTTGCTTTTTTGTTATATTTTTTGAACTTTATATGAAATAACACGAAGAAAAATATATACATATTTGCTGCAAAAAAACAAATACCAAACGTTACCAATTAATTGATTACCTTTATCAACAATGAGTATATTTCGTATTTCGTATACCGCCAATCTCCTTTTCCTAGTGTAAGGAATGTGTGTTTTCAGAGTTGAGTATTAGAACCATTATTTAACAAGATAAAATGGCAAGTGAACGAAATATCACGTAATTTTTGTTATTTTATTTCACGGTTATCTAAAATAATAAAAATTAACTGATAATGTTTATCTTAAGAAACCTTTTTCGTGAAAATTGACTCATTTTAGCATTCTAGGCCAACCTGTCAGACAGACACACATCAAAGTCAAGAAGAATTATTAGAGCAAATTAGATTTTGAATAAAAATGAAAATTATTGGGGCTGAAACTATTGTATTTGAAAATAATGATAAACATAAAAGTTCTACTTCATTAATAGTATTTCTAAAATTTGTTTTAATTTGGTGAATATTCAACTTGAACAAACTCTAATGCTTGTACCCTAACGACTCTTATAATATAACTTGTGGTCATTATTTAGTATTAACATCTTGTCTTATAAAATATACACTGTATGTAACAGAACTCACTAATCTTTTTCTTATACAAATTTTACACAGGAATTCATTAAATATTAAATACTGGGGTATTAATTTAATATAGTGTTCTGTTTAGTTTAATTTGGAAAATCTGGAGTAAATTAATATAGAATATTTCAAATTCTTGGTATCTATGTAACAAAGAACTGAATATGTTCTATACGTCTTTTAGACATTTTGTGAGAGTTAGGTACACAGCAAAACGTTTTATTTTCTCTCTTGTTGGTTAACGTTCTACTAGATTTCTTTTACCCTTCTTACCTAAGAGATAAGGCCACCCTCTTGTTGTGCCTAGAAGGAAATGAACTCCAAAAACTTGAGATAACAAAAGCCCTACTGTTACAGCGAGTTGATTCACAGTTCCTGTCAAAGCATGAAAACAAAGAATAAAGCAAGTTATTTACTATACGTTAGCTCACTCCATTATATATTATATTTGTTGTAAGTATAATATAGCTTCAGTTACCCCTTGTAGAAGCTAAATTACATCAAGTAGTTTGTTAATATGTAGTGGACTGATATTGTCTAGTCTTTTAAGTGACATTACCTAGTCCGTAAGACGATATCACCTAATTTGTTAATAGGCCAACAAAGTATAGAATGTAAAGTTAAATCACCTAACTTGTTAAAAAGCAATAGAGTGACATCATCTAATTTGTTAATATGTAGCGGAGTGACAACACCTACTTGTTAAAAAGTAATGGAGTTACTCACCTAACTTGTTAATATGTAGCGGAGTGACAACACCTACCTGTTAAAAAGTAATGGAGTGACTCACCTAACTTGTTGAGATGTAGTGGGGTGACTCACCTAATTTGTTGAGATGTAGTGGAGTGACTCACTTAATTTGTTGAGATGTAGTGGAGTGTCTCACCTAACTTGCTGAGATGTAGTGGAGTGATTCACCTAATTTGTTGAGATGTAGTGGAGTGACTCACCTAATTTGTTGAGATGTAGTGGAGTGACTCACTTAACTTGTTGAGATGTAGTGGAGTGACTCACCTAATTTGTTGAAACATAGTGGAGTGACTCACCTAATTTGTTGAAACGTAGTGGAGTGACTCACCTAATTTGTTAAGATGTAGTGGAGTGACTCACCTAATTTGTTAAGATGTAGTGGAGTGACTCGACTAATTTGTTGAAACGTAGTGGAGTGACTCACCTGATTTGTTGAGATGCAGTGGAATGACTCACCTAACTTGTTGAGATTTGGCGGAGTAAAGTCACTTAATCGATAAAGTGACATCGTTTACTTTGTTAAGATGTAATATAATAAAATAGTCCGAGAACATGTAATACAATAGCAGTACCTAGTCTGTCTGTGTACAAAACAATTATCTTTTTTTACGGTTTCAAGTTAAGAAATAAAAACAATGAAATTATTTTTTATTAAGGAAGTGTTGCTTTTTTATCTACATTTATCATACAAATGATTCTATCTATACCAGGGAAAAGTTTTAATAAAAACAGATATTGATATAGACACGATAACACAATAAAATAAAATCAATAATTTAAAAAATTAACAATCAGTACTTTATTTACAATTATTTGTTTACATTTTGAATACCAGTAGTAAAAGTTCTACTTTTATGTTTGTCGAGATAATATGTTTCATATAAAAGATTAAGAATACACATTTTCACTCCCGAGTGAGCACATATCCTGTGACAAATGTATGTGAGTGAAAAGGTTATAAAACAAAAATGAATCCTCACCTAAGCCTCCTCGCAGAGCTACAGGGGATATTTCAGAGAGGTACATTGGTACAAGGGCAGTATTCAAACCTGGACATGGCGAGATAATAATAATAATTAATTATTGCAATATTCAAACCTGGACATGGCGAGGATAAAAATAATAATAATTAATTATTGCAATATTCAAACCTGGACATGGCGAGATAATAATAATAATAATTAATTATTGCAATATTCAAACCTGGACATGGCGATGGTAAAGAAAAAAAAAATTCTAACAACTTTTTGTGTATTATGTTTGTGAGAAAAGCCGGTAAGTGAGAAATGATCTGGAACTGAACCCAGAACCGGTCGCTAAAACTTCCGTGTTGTTTTTAGTTTGTTGAAAGTTTGAAGTTTAAAACAAAATAATAAAACAATTACAATAATTGTATAGGTTATTTAATAAAATGAAACGATGAAGAAGTGATTATAAAAATATATTTACATAATTACTATTGTTTGTTTATGATTCTAAGGTTTGGTTGTTAGTCTTTAAGCTCAAAGCTATGCATTGGGCTATCTATGCTGTGCTCATAGTAGGTATCGAACCGCGAATTTTAACGTTATAACGTTATAAGGGGTACTCTGAGCTTGTTTGTTTGTTACGGATTTCCCGCAAAGCCGTCCCTAATTAGCATTGTAAGACTAGAGGGAAGGTAGCTAGTCAACACCACCCACTGCCAACTCTTGGGATACTCTTTTACCAAAGAATAGTGAGATTGACCGTCACATTATAACGCCCCCACTGCTGTGACGGGGATTCGAACACGCGACCCACCGATTGCGAGTCGAGCTAGACACCTAAAGATTATTAAACCTATGGTTACATATTGCTGAAACATTTATTTGAATAGAGACAAAAGAGACGTCTGGTCTTCAGTTAGGCTGAAGATATTCACAAAATATGTGAAGACCTGGGGGTGGGGGGTATAATTATGTCCCTCACGCTCATCTGGCAATACTAGGAAGTCCTAGTTATCGGATAAAACAGTGTCTTTACTTGATAAGTAGATTTATAAAAATTCAACCGGTGGGCCAGCACTAAGTTTACTCACTTACAGTGCTAAAATCCAGACAGCTCATTGTGTAGCATTGTGCTAAAAAACAACAATAATTGGAAAATGCAATTTCATTAATTTAAATACCAAACTTGTAGTTTTTTTTTAGTTTTTCTTAAAACATTTTTAAGATTTTGTTTTTATTCATAAAAGAGTAAAGTTAGAACGATTTTTCTTTTTTAAATTCATAGAGTACAGGTGAAAACTAAAAAAATGTGGGTCTTATTCGCACAATATATTTAGTAGTGAACCGATTTTCAATTCGAGATTGAAGTTTGGTTAATTGTGCACCTAGCGGAAAAAACAACACTCGAAGATTTGAGACTTTCCCACGATATTAAGGACATACTTAAAAATTGTCATATGTTTTAATGTTTGCGATTTATACACTAAAAAAGAGAGGCTTAAGAAAAAAAAGAAATTATTTTGTTTTTCTGAACTTCAAATAACACAATTATAAAAAAAAGAGGTTTGTTTATTTCTTTTTTAAATTTCATGCATAGTTACTCGACGGCTGTCTGCGTTAGCCACTCCTAATATAGAAGTTATAGGCTAGAGTGAAGGCAGCTAGTCAACAGGACCCACCGCCAACTCTTGGGCTACTCTTTTACCAATGGAAATTAGGGTTGGCCGTCACATTATGAAGTCCTCACGGCTGAAAGGGCGAGCATGTTTGGTGTGACGGGGATTCGAACCTGCGACCCTCAGATTGCAAGTCGAGCGCCCTAACCTTCAAGCCATGTTAGGCTTAATGAAAAAGGACGTTGTATATTACAGAGTTTTGTATACATCTCCGCTCTTAAGGTAATACCGTGACGCTTCAAGTAAAAGTTAGTTAAAACAGTGAATTCGAAGAAAACATGCATTTCTAAAGACTTACCACAGTTAAATCCTATGATAAGTCGACCAATCAGAAGCATCTCGATACTATAGGACGCCTTGCTAAGCCCCATAAAAGCACCTCCAAATATTGCAAGTATGTTATTAAGAAGAAGACCCCCTTTCCTATTGAAATAAAATGAATGTCATTAAGCTTATTCAAAATAACACAAAGACAAAGAACTAGTCACGTGTGATACGGTCAGGAGTGGACTGGCAGCTTGTGGGTCACCAGGACGCCACTCAGTGACACCTGTGAATGCAATGTGTAAATATTAACATAAATACTGGCATTTATATATTTACCAAGTTTTATGGTTATTTTTTTAAAGCTGGAAAATCAACTTTGTCATTAAATTAAATAATAAATCGTAAAAGAGCAACAAATACAGAAAAATAGTTTCATTAATAGCTGAACTATTACTTCACCATTAAGTTAAAGCCATCTAGAGGCTCTGGCTATTGGAGGACCTCACGGTGGCGACTAAGTCGCTTAAACAGGTTTTCGGCCCCGATTTAGCAGTATAGATTGTTTTTAGTTTTGTAATTTGGGGCTAGCCCACTGGCAAATTGGGACCAGTCGACCGGCAAACTGGGAACAGCCCACAGGCAAATTTTCCAGTGCTCGCTTCCCTTCTGGCTCTTGTTGCCAGATTCTATCCAACCCTCTGTTTGGTTAGAATTTAAGATACAAACATTTTGTTTAGTTCAAATGTAATATATTAAAAGAATCTTTGGAAAACATTTAAGATGCTAATATTTCGTTTGGTCAAAATATAAAACAATAATCCTCTTTTTGGTTAATCTTAAAACAGTAATGAAATACAAAAAATAATACTATTACAAACTAAAATATAATAATACTAAATAAATCATCATATTAAGTACTGAAAAAGAATGTACTATAGCACTATATTTGATACTTGGTAAAAATGTAAGATGCTAATTTTTTCTTTTGTTAAAACTTAAGATACTAATCTTTGTTTAAACAAAGCGTAATATAATAATCTTCTGTTTAACCAAAACGTAATATAATAATATTCTGTTTAACCAAAGCGTAATATAATAAGCTTCTGTTTAATCAAAACGTAAGATAATGATCTTCTGTTTAACCAAAAAGTAAGATAATAATCCTCTGTTTAACCAAAGCGTAATATAATAATCTTCTGTTTAACCAAAGCGTAATATAATAATCTTCTATTTAACTAAAACGTAATATAATAATCTTCTGTTTAACCAAAACGTAATATAATAATATTCTGTTTAACCAAAACGTAAGATAATAATCTTCTGTTTAACCAAAACGTAATATAATAATATTCTGTTTAACCAAAGCGTAATATAATAAG